ATCGCTGAACGATTTTCTTAAGAAGTTTTCCACTTCTATAAGTATTTGGACAAAAACACAGAATCTGACTCCGTTGATTTTTCAGTTTTCAATAAAACTTCTGGCTCAATTTTAAACGTCCCTAAAGGTATAAATGACATCTGGTTCCCGCGCCTTTTGGAAAATACTTGATTACATATTTTTTCCATTAATTAATCAAATATCATATCATGATTTAAATCATAACTAGATGCTCTTGGAGCGTGAAGTCGGGCCAGCTATTTTTGAAAATTGATAAAGACAGGGTATTACATGGATGCGCGTATAGGAGAACGAGTGAAAGGTTTTACACACGATAAGATTATGATGTTATATTCTGTCTAATCATATGATTATATGAATGTAAATTATAGCGTAGAATATATTTTTTTTTATTCTAATGCATAGTAAAAGCGAGAATGCGTTACTTTCACATTAATTAATGAGCTGTTCAAAGCTGTTTATTCACAGGATACGATATTCTTTTTGACTGCTCTCTGCAACGACTTCAAAACGATAGAAATATCAAGCCACAAAAAAAAATACTTCGGGTTTTTTCCCAAAATAGCCGAACTCACGGTCTAATAAGAGCGTCTAGTTCAAAATATGCAAACATCTATTGACCTAAAAGGACATGTAATTAACACCGTTTTTTTAATGCAAGTATACTTAAAGTATATTTAAAGTATACTTATCGAAGAGTTTTGTACATGAACCAACTTACTATTTATTGACTAAATGTCGATAAGTAATATCATGACAGATATCTAATACGTTTTTAACTCATTGATCTCTCATGCCAAGAAATAAATTATACCTTACAAAATAAAATGCCTATAAAATAATCAAAGTCGCCTTTTTGTTATTGATAAACAAAGTTTCATCTTGTTTTAATTTGAAATCTTTTCCCACACAAGACTGGCTAACGCTAGAAAGGTCATTGATTCAGTTTCGTAATCATACAACTCGAAGCTCCATGCGATCTGCACATGCGCGTACTATTGATGCGTAGACTGATGCATTCCGATGAGATCACAGATATCACATTTGTAAACGAATAGTTTTTTATCACATAAAAACGTCGCAAGTAGTATCTAACACTTACTAACGATATTCGTACAACTATACATTTGAGCTTCCGGTTATGTAATAACACAGCCAACCCAATTGTTAATTATTAAATTCTTAACTTCAGGTGGTTCAAACGCGACCAAATACACAGATAGATATAGATATATAGATAGATTGRCTAAGAGGTAAAGCTCAACTCGACCTACAATGTAGCCTTCGGCTATCCCGACTAATAATATTAATCAAACATGTTTTACTTGTATTAATTCTTTTCTTTTTCATAACATTTAGGAAATAAAGTAAGCAACATTACTATGACCACAAATGGAATTAATTCATCACTCAATTCATCTCTCAGAATTATATGTCCGACGTCCACAAAATGTTAAACAGGAAATAATAATAGTAATGTTGATACTGGAAGTCCGTCATATAAAAAGGATAACTCTACACTTTCTCCAGTACCCGACCGCGCATCAGATCGATACTATGTGCGGATCAACTGGAAATCCCCTTCAAAATAAAAAGACTGAAATAAATACCTGGT